GGACTGAATGGTCAGGTCATTGTGAATGGTCACTGTGAGTTATGAACACGGTTTGATGTTCAAAATAGTCAACAGAAGTCAATGTGCCAAGCTAAGCACAAGGGCTGTGTCTACACTTGCATCTCTCAGTTGCACATCACATTGATGGTGAGACTGTAGCCTCCTAAATGACCAAATCGGCCACGGTCAGAGTTCATCATAGCTCTGTCTGGGGAATGCACTTGACTTTTCTCCAGAGTGATGGAGAGCTGGATCCTGGCCCACGGTGAAGACAGAACATGGCAATGATGTGCAAAGATCCAAGACGTATGAAGCAACAGGGGCTGTAGCATGACAAAGTCAAACTGACAAATCTAAGACAGTCTGAAGACAACTTTTCTGGCATTCTCCCTCAGGTAAGCTAGTGAATTTGCCCCGTTTCTCTGAACCTTTAAACTCTTTGGTAATGTTAAAATCCAAAGGGACAGACATGGGAGAGATCAGGTCCCACCCTCCATCCAGCTGGGTGAATGCAAAGTTTGGATCACAGGCTGTCCTTTCTTTTGGACAAGCTCTGCTATTTCTTCTTTAGAAGATAATGTGTAAGCTTCAAAAAGCCAGCTTTCAGCAACCCTAAGACAAACCCTTCTTCTAGCAACTGTCTCTTTCTTTCTCCTATATGCACTCATGTATTTCTGACTTCTCTGATGGCTGCTCCTTCCAAACTTGCCCTTTGTGACAGGTATCACAGCTGGGATGGCTGCTCTCCTCTTCCTGCTTTCTGTGATATTCATGCTCTTTCCATTACAAGTGGTTCATACTCTGAAACTGTTGGAAAGTGTTTGCATCTGCACATGTGTACATACACACCCAGTAACAGATCTGCTGCTTCTCCCCCATAAAATACAGCAGAGGTTTTTGTACTGAAATTGCTCATGTTTTGGGTGTTTTGGTATGATTATTGTAATATTACAAGATTATTTTTTTAAGTGTAAGGAGAATAAAACCATAAAACTATCACCATGTTATCTCTGAAGTGTCTTGCTGAGCAGGTTTAATTCTTGTTTATTGTGAAATTGTCCAGAGAACTATTTCATGTTCTCGCTTTCATTTTTCAGGTTTAAATATGTACAGCTTTTCATGGTTTTAAAAACAATTTTTTTTTTTAATGTTTTAAAATTGCAGTTAAAGAAGCCTATAATTTGTTTCAAGAACCAGCTTTATTATGCCAATTGCTTTTTGGTTTTCTTTTTTCAAATCCAGTCTTCTGGATGCATTATAGCCTTGCTGTCTACCGGGAAAAAGTGCAAACCATGAAAATTTCTTTAATCTATACGGCCTAGGTTTAGGAGAAGGCAAGAGAATATCATGAATGCAGCAGCACTAAGCCAGGTTCTGTTTCTGTGTTAGAACAAACAGGTTCTAGGCAAGGGATCAGCAAAGCCCCTTTTGTTGCCATTTAAATTTTCTTCCTAATGCCTAATATTAGTGCATAAAAATTTCACACCAGGTCTTAAGTAAAAGAAAAATTCCTTATTTGTTGGATAGCTAAATATATAAGAGAACCCTCTATTAGAAAAAAAAAAAAAAAAAAAAAAAAAAAAAAAAGGCATGCATTTAAAGTCTCTGGGGGAAAAAAATATCATACCTGTGTAGAAATAAAGATTCATAAAATAGCTTCTATTTAGAAAAGCACACCTATACATGTGTTTAAGTCCCATGAAGTGCTGTTCTAAATTGAACTTGTACATAATTTCCACTACTGCATTATGCTAATGGTAGTAAGTCTTGCAGCTGGCAATACCTAAGCACTCTCAGGCATTTAATTATATCTGGTAGCAACAACCAAAAGATGCCTTGCAGATGCTCGAAATAGTGTGAGCACCTAGGCCAGGACAGAATGAGAGTTGTGAACTCCATTTCCGTAAGGAAAACCAGCTAATGGGATCAGTATGGCAACCTCCTCAGGCGCCTGAGAAAATCTGAGATCATGCCACTAAGTGCTTGTGAGATATATAAATGTGTTGTAAACTGTCTCCCATATATTTCCACTTTTTCTCCTCAACTTTCCTATTTATAATTAACACCTCTCTTTATCTTGTTCATTTTGAATATCTTTGTTCTTTCCAAGTTAAATTATTTAATACTCTCTTCCTCTCGTTTAAAGCTCCCTTTATCTCATGATCCCCTTTCCTTCATATTGAAATCTCTCCTGTCTAAATGCATAATCAGATGACATCTGCTACTACAGAACTTAAAAATCCCAGCACATTCCCTAAAATAATTTAACTGTGTAGTTATTAGACAGCAAGGTATGTCGTGCAGATAAGAGGGCTGGGTACACAAAAGAAAGAGGCTCCATATGGCACAAAGGGGAGCTGACGTCTCGGCATCAGTTACCAACCACATAAGACTGATTGATTGTTCATAATGTGAAGCCCTGAAATGTCCAGTCTGCTTCTGCATCTTTGCAGACATGAAAACTGGTCGTTGCTCACATAAACAATCCTGTGGATTTCAACATCTGACCAGTGAACAATGAAGATTTAGTGTCACATAGCTACGCATGCCATGAAGCTTTTGTATTATGCAGAAGGAAACACGAGGGCAAGAAAGCATCTGGAAGCCCTGAGGTATGTTTGCAGTTGAACAAAAATGAAAATTTGGTCATGTGAAATGAGAGAAAAGCTAAATTCTCATTCCTGTACTGTGTCTAAGGCACAGCTAAACATATCCCCAAATGGGTTTGTACGATGTTAATGGAGAATACACGTACACATGTGCCAGCCCATTCTGGGATCTGGTTGAGTCCCACTGGTTAATTAAGATATGTATATTATCTGTATGGGAACCTGATGAGGAAAGTGAAATGTTGCAGGATATAGTTTTGGATGACAGACACTGAGTTGTCCCTCTCTAATACTGACCAAATACCTCGATATGTATGACAAATTGCCTTATAGCAACACTGAAGCTGTCTTGCAAACAGACTTAAGATGCATGAGAAACCTGGCAATTATACAAGTGTTTTCTTCCTTCCTGCTCCGTGCTGGTGGGGCAGGGCAGGGCTTACAGACTGCTCTCTTATTTAAAGTCAGGAATGATTTAATCTATTTCATCTAACAGGCCTATATGCTTATCATGATGCTCAAAGAATGGCTTTTAAACAAAACCAGCTAAAATATCTTTGTACGAGGCTTTCGATACACAGTTTAGAATATCTATATATGATCTTAAAGATTACAGAAGAGCCACAGGAATCCATGTAATTTATACCTCAGTTGGCAAAAAACGTTTATTACAAACTTCAGATCTCTTGAAAACAGATTTCCAGGCAAAGCATCCACTCAAAGCAACAGAGCCTTATTAAAGCTTATCTTTTTCTTTAGTTGAGCATGGACAAAAGTCAAACTTTTCCTGTGATATCTGATGACCATTGGCAAACCATTAGGTTTTGGGGGTTTTTTTTTGATATTTCTTAACTGTTCTAAATCTGATACACAGAGAGATAGCTCATCCTTCTCTAGATGAGCTAGGCTTGGGACAATGCCCAAGGAGTGACCCATCAGAGGGGAAAATTAGAAGAATCTTCCAGAGCCTGGGACTGAACCTGAGGTTTCAAATTTTTGCCAACTAGAGCTGCTGTGAGCAAACATCTGAAACTTGTTGGCAAAATGAACCTAGAATTTACTTGGGCAGTAGACAAGATTAGAAATTCATAATTAGTATCCACCCACAAAGAGTGAGGGGCAGGATTAGTACCATGTACAAACTATGGTACAAAAGCAGGGAGAGACTGCTGCCTACTGCAGGACTGGATTTTACCACCAGACCAAGCACCCTCCGTATCTGCCACTTTGCCTCTGTCTACACCTTCTGCAGCAACTAATATTGCAGCAGCTTCATTCACTATGAAATCTGGCTGCTTCTAATTTCTGAGGGCTTAACTTTTGGCCTCAAGAGATGTTATTTTGCTTTTGCTTGGTAACAATGCTTTCCTGAATTGTGCTGAAATTGTTTGTGCTGTATAGTCCTGCTGGTGCAGAGCAAGGCCTCTGCATTGTGTGACAAACCATCCAGGCCAGAACTGCCAGGAAGAGGGTGCACAACAAAACGACCCAGGAAACACTGGACATCTGTGTAGTCTCCTGCTGTGGTGAGATCAGAGGGTCTGTGTGCTTGCTAGAGTGCTCTCAGAACCATGGAGAAAAAGATCTAAGCACTCTGATCCGTGAACAGTGCAGATAAAACCCGTGTCATAGAATTGGGGCCACCTCACCTGTGAATGAGTATCCAGGCAAAGATTTAATATAATTTATATGATAAACATTGACTTCATATCTTTAGCTGATTCGTCTGATCCTTCCTGTGGAGTAATCAAATCCTCCAAGTAATCAAATTCTATGCTCATTATAATAACAGCTTGCTCTGGAAGAACAGCTGTTAGGCATTTATTTTCTCCCAAAACAGCCAACCTGTAGCAGTTGCACAGGCAAATGCAGTGAGGTTTTGCAATTTGGCCCTTGTATCTGAGAAGAGAGCAAGGACCTACGTGTACTCCGGTAAACTTTAGGGAAGTGGCAAAACGTATGATCGTTTTAAACTGCACATTTTGGATCCCCTTGTGGGTGGGAGAAGGCATGTTCCCTCCATATTAAAAAAAAAATCAGCTATGATGTACACGTTTACACAAGCGAACCTCACACAACAACATACTCCTCCCGAAGTAGCTGAGATCACGGCTTTCAGCTATTTAACACTTACTTACTTGGTGGCAAGAAGTGGAAAGCGTACGGCAGGGCTGTTCTTCAAAGCCTAAATACAGCCACAGAGGCTGTGAAGTTACCTAAATACTTAGCAATCACACCGCAGAACCGCTGCGCGTTTGAACGCCGCCGGAACAAGGCGGCCGTGGCAGCAGCGGTGTGAACAGCTGCGGTGACGGAGCGTTTCGTACTTTATCATTTCCTCGTTAATGTGATTTAGGGCGAGGGGGTCGTGGCCGGGCAGAGGCCGGGCTAATGAATCCAGCGGGGAAGCGGAGACAGGCGGGGAATAGGAAATGGGAAGCGCGGGTCGAGCACCAGAATGAGGTTTTTCTAACACTTCGTTTTAAGGGGAAGGTATCTAACAGTGAAATAAACACGGCGGCCTCCGCAGAGGGCATCGTCTCCAGGTCGGGAGGCGGCTGGGTCAGCAGGCGCTCACAGGCAGCGGCGATGTCGGCCGGTCGCGATAGATCCGCGGGCAGGGCAGGAGTCTGCGGGGCTCTGCCCACAGCGGGCAGGCCGGCGCCTTCCTACGGCAACGAAGCGATACCGGGAGAACCCCGGGGCGGCGGGGAACAACCGAGGGGTGGGTACAGGCAGTACGGGTGTGAGAGCAGCCACGGCCGGTCCCGAGCCCCTCGCTCCCGCAACGCGGGCGACCGGAGTGTAACTGTGGGGACTTCCGCCGCCGGCAGCCTCCTGCCCGCCCTCCCGCGCGTCAAGCGCCGGGCGTCACGCAGACGTTGTAATGTACCAAAACAGCGCGCACGCCCCCGCCG